TTTTCAACTCAGGATCTGATGTTGACGCCAATGCGGCAAGTGCATCCGCAGTTGTATTCTCTCCCCGAGGTATGCGGATTAATTCGAATTTCGAGAAATTTTTAGATAGATCCTTCACCACTTCGAAGTACGCTTCCATTCTTGAGTCTTTGGCTTCATAGTCTCCATTAAACTGGTTAACTACTAATTGCGAATCACAATAAGCCACTATTTCCTTAGCTCCAACTCCTTGAGCCAATCGAAGTCCGGCAATCAGGGCTTCATATTCTGCTTCGTTGTTGGAGGCATTGAATAACAATCGGAATGACTGTTCTAGAATTTCTGATGTTGGAGACTCCAACTTGATCCCCACTCCGGATCCTTCTTTTGTCGAAGACCCGTCAACATGTAATTTCCAAGTTTGGTTCTCCGGTTGTTCTATCGTTCCAGGTATTGGTAGTTCGGTCAGGAAGTCTGCTAAGACCTGAGCCTTCATACTGATCCGGCTTTTGAACTCTATATCGTACTCGCTCAATTCCACCGCCCATTTCGCCAAACGTCTGGACTGACTTGGACTATGAAGTATTGTTCGGAGTGGCTGGTTGGTTAATACTTCAATCGGATGGGATTGAAAATACGGGCGCAGCTTCCGAGCCGAGGTCACCACCGCGAGTGCGAGTTTTTCCATCATTGTATATCTGGTTTCTGGATCCGTCATTGACTTACTTACGTAGTAAATCGGCTTCTGTTCCCCGCGGTCTTCCCGAACCAAGACTCCACTAACCGCATGGTTTGAAACTGATACGTACAAATAAAGCTTTTCATCCACTTCTGGCTTGGACAATATAGGTGGAGTGGTTAAGTATGCCTTAAGCTGCCCAAAAGCTTCTTCACACTTCTCATCCCAAAGGAATCCTTTGTTTCCTCTTAGGATTTGGTAGAAAGGTAACGACTTATCCGTTGACCTCGAGATAAAACGGTTCAAAGCCGTAATCCGCCCAGTCAACCGTTGTACTTCCTTGAAGTTTCTTGGAGATGGCATGTTTAGAAAGGCATTAATTTGATTTGGATTGGCCTCAATCCCTCTTTCTGTCACAACATAGCCAAGGAATTCTCCGGATGGGACTCCGAATGTGCACTTTGCCGGGTTCAGCTTCATTTGATATTTATTGAGAATATCAAAACATTCCTCTAAATGTTTGACGTGATCCTCTTTCTTCAAAGATTTAACCAACATATCATCTATGTAGACTTCCATTGTCTTCCCGAGGTGATTGTGGAACATTTTGTTAACCAACCGTTGGTAAGTTGCTCCTGCATTTTTCAAACCAAAAGGCATTACCTTGTAACAATAGATACCTCTATCTGTGATAAATGACGTCTTTTCTTGATCTTCGGGGTTCATCATTATTTGATTATAACCCGAGAAGGCGTCCATGAATGTTAACAGCTCGTTCCCAGCGGTGGATTCTACAAGTCGATCTATATGTGGGAGCGGGAAACTGTCTTTGGGACATGCTTTATTGAGGTATGTGAAGTCGATGCAAACCCTATCTTTCCCATTCTTCTTCTTGACAACGACAGTGTTTGCTACCCATTCCGGATATTGCACTTCTCTTATGGACCCTATCTTCAAAAGTTTATCCACTTCGTCATTTACTATTTTTGCTCGCTCCACTCCAAGCTTTCTTCTTTTTTGTTTCACCGGTTTGAAGCTTGGATCCACGTTTAGTTCATGACAAATTATACTTGGATTTATGCCAGGCATGTCCGCTGCTGACCACGCAAACGATGTTTTGTTTTTCCTTAAGAGTTCGATCAAAGCTTCTTTTATTTGGCCAGTCAAAGTTGCCCCAATTCGAATTTTCCGGTCCGGCTTGCCTTCTTCCAACACCACTTCGATTACTACATCGTCTTTCTTCTACCCGCTAGGAAATTTTGTTCTTAGTCCCTCTTTTGCGGGCTTCGTTAATTGCTATTGAATCTTCATACGGTGGCTAGCTAGATAACACGTCCGTGAAGCTTCTTGATCTCCCCGAATTGTTTCCACTCCTCTTAATGTTGGAAATTTAATACATTGATGATATGTAGAGGGGACTGCTTTCATTTGATAAATCCAGGGAGTCCCGAGGATGATGTTGTAAGCTGCGGGCTTATCGAAGACAACGAAGTCCACGATCTTCGATACCTTTTTGGCAAGGACCGGTAGCTTGATTGTCCCGAGAGACATGGCTGACTCACTTGTGAATGCAACTAATGGGGACGGAGGCCCCACTATGTCCGCCCGACTAATTCCCATTCTTTCTAAAGTACTTAAAAAGATCAAATCGACCGAACTGCCTGTATCTATAAGGATCCTTGATACTTCGAAGTTGGCAACGTCAAGGGTAATGACTAGAGCATCATCATGAGGTCTTTCGAGGTACTGCGTTTCTTCTTCATTAAATGATATTGATGCACCTTGAAAATCGACTTCTTCGCTTAAGCTTGCTTTGAGTAGGACATTTCGTCTATGTTTCTTGATGGAACTTATCGAATCTCGACAAAATTTGGAGCCTCCTAGAATCACATTGATCTTACCCTTCAAACTCCTTGGTTCTTCCTCGTTGGATAACCTTGGTCTTTTGGAATCTTGGTCTTTAGAATTTTCCCTTGCTTCATGGTATTCCTTCACAAAATCTTTTATATCAAATTTCGAAAGATCTCCACTGGCCCAAAGCTCCGCGAGGTACCTTTTAAGGACACTACAATCCTTGGTTAAATGTCCGGTTACTTTATGAATATCACAGTGTAAACTTTCATCACGGACCCAAGTGTTTGTCCTTCCTTTCCCTTGGAATTGTTTTCCAACGGTACTGTTGAAGGGTTGCGACCCAAATTTTCTTGGTCCTTTGCTCTCCCTAGGTTCGAACTTCTTGGTAGGGACGGTGATTGCCGTCTTTTCTTGTTTATTTCTTTTGGCAAAATTTTCTTTCTCGTCCTCTACTTCCATCCAATTATTTGCGCGGAAGAGTGCATCCTGAATTGTGTCTGGTTTATGAAGTATTAAGTCTTCTTTAAACCTTGAATCATGTCGCAATCCTTTTCGTAGGGCAGATAAAGCTGATTGCTGCGAGATTCTTGGGAGCTTTGACAGCACTCCTTTGAATTTGGTGATGAAAACTCGAAGTGACTCATTTGATCCTTGCGATAAGTTCCAAAGATCGGCATCCGAAACGCTTTTATCCATAAGGATGGAATATTGCTTTAAGAATACGGCTGATAGTTCGTCGAAATTGCTGATCGAACCCGGCTCTAATTGGGTGAACCACATTAGAGCTTGGCCACATAGATTCTCCGAGAAAAGCTTGCAGTAACCTGCGTCCTCATCAGCTTCATCCAATTCGACTCGTCCGGCAGCTATCAGGAAAGCTGCGAGATAGCTCTTTGGGTCCTCCAATCCGCTGTAAGGGTCCAACTTGAGCTTCCGGGAATCTTTGATCCTCAAACTTGCAATTCGCGAGATGAAAGGTGTTCGCCTAGCTTCTTCCTCATGGTCTCGAACTGGTCGAGGTTCTCCTGCTCGTATTGAGCTGCAAGTTGTTCTTCATCTCCAAGCTGTGTCCCTTCTTCCAACGTCTGAACTACACTATTAGTAGCACCAGGAGTTGTTTGTCCACTGGTTTCATTTCGCGCGGCGGAACTTGGCGAGTTGAATATCCCTCTTCGGATTCCCACAGGGTTTCCTGCACTTAAAGAGCGAACACGAGTTTGTATAGTGCTGACGTTTTGACTAAGAGATACCTGGGATGTTTGCAACGTATCGACGGCCTTTTCCACATCCGAGAACTTTTGTGATATGTCCGACATGGTTTGCTGCATAGCTTTGAGGGTTTCGGCCAATGATGTATCAACGGCGTCTCCTCCGAACATTGTTGCTTATCTCGGAAATGTAGTAAAGAAAAAATCTGACCACTCAAGAATCCTCGTTCCCCACAGACGGCGCCAAAATGTGGATGTCAGATTCACACACTCAAGTATTTTTATTAAGTAGGAAAGATTACTCTTGAGGGACAAAAATGAATCTGTAAAAACTTATGAGTTGCTACGAAAATTGCTATAGTATTTCTTTCTTGAGAGGAAGATCCCCCTTACATGGCCATTGGCCTTTGTATTTATACATAGGAAAATGACATTAAAATGGCTAATTAAGTATAATTATTCTCTCTTAAATGTGTCCGTTTTGATCTTTGGCTTTGATGCTTCAACGTTTGAATTTGAGTTGACTCTGATCTTCATGGGCCCCGCCTTTTGGCCCAAATGTCCTTAAACCGACTCAACCGTGACTTCGATGCCGAACTCATGCCGAAATGCAGTCACTTCGGATTTTCCTTGTGGCGATACCCACTTCGACTGTTCCTTTGGCTTACTAATCCGACGGGCTTTATCCTTTATGGGTCTTCATCTTGTCTACGTGGCAATCTTTGGTTGGTCCCGGACTTCTGGTGCGGGATCCGACACCAACAACAACAGCTTATCGCTATTAGGTATGTTAATGAATAATCAATATATTATCCGCTATTTTGTTTATGCACTATCAAACAACCATTAAATGCTTTAAACTGTAGGTGACGAAACACTGGCACACTTTTACTCTGATCCTGATGGCTCTCTGATTATGGATCCTCAACCTATCACAATGATAGATAAAGGCAAAAGTATCATGATAGAGGACGGATTATCAACTAAAGAAATAGGGATGCCATCAACTAACACAAGAGTATCGGAGGTACAGAGGAATGAGATGATCGTGAAGGATACACCTGTGCCAACGGTATTCTATGACAGAGATGCACCCCCATACAAAAATAATTAAAAAAAAAATTGAACAGAAGCGATGGAACAATGTAAAAAGGAGGGACTTAATTATCGCTTCCTCTATGCATATCCATTGATATTTCTCTTAAAATAAAAAGGAAATGATGGCAAAAACAAATTACTAAATTAGGAAAGAGTTGGGAAATAAAAAAGGAGCGGAGGGCTTGAGAGAAAATAAGAAAAGAGTTACGAATACTACTTTTTGTCGTCTGTTGTTTCGTCTTCATCGCATTGCGCCGCCTTGTCATACTCTGCGTCTCTCTCAAGCACGCTCCTTCGATCTTCCTCTTGGTGGTACTCTCGTTTCTAATTGTAAGTTCTCTTCAATTCCTTTTCCAAACGTTTGTGTAGATCTTGGAATCGAGTAATTAGATCGATAAACCCTAGTTCTCGGGATACAAATCGTAAAGTCTTAAAATTTAGGAATCAAATCTTATTGTAAGGTTTTTGGTAGTGAAACCCAGTTTGATGAATCGTCGCATCTTGTAGAATACCCTAATTTCGAATCCCTGTGATTAGGGCTAAACCCTATATTGTTATATTGTTTCAGATTTGTATTTGTTGAAGATGAATATTTGGTTTTAAATTTCTGGTTATTTTCTTGTTAATGCAGAGACATGTCTAATTCAAAGGACGAGAAAGCACAAGTTGCAGCTGATAAAATCAAGGCTGCAACACTTACTGCTGCTAAAGGTCTGAGTCGTACTCAAGCGGAGCGAGCAGCAGCTGCAGCGGCGAGAAACGTTAACGCTTATGGGCAAAAGGAAGAAGGTCCCAGTAGATGGCAGGAGAAAAGAGAATTAAAGAGGCAGATGTATTTGATGAGTACCGAGAAAGCGGTTAGGCTTGGTGAAAGGAAAGACAAAACTATGTCAGTTTCTGCCGTGGGAAGCAGTGCTTCGGCTGCTTCACTGTGCCAGAAATGTTTCCAAACTGGACATTGGACTTATGAGTGTAAGAATGAAAGGGTTTATATCTCGAGACCTTCGAGAACCCAGCAGCTTAAGAACCCTAAACTGAGAATGAAGCCTTCGATTGATGATCTTGATGGTAATGATGATGATGATGATGAAGAAAAGCTAGATGCAACTAATGGGAAAGCGGAAGTGGAGAGGCGGTCTAAGAAGAGTAAGAGAAAGCATAGGTCAAAGTCTGATTCTGGAAGTGACAGTGAAGCCTCTGTGTTTGAAACAGATAGTGACGGCTCATCTGGAGAGAGTAGTTCAGAATACAGTTCATCTTCGGACTCAGAGGACGAAAGGAGGAGGAAAAGAAAGGCGAAGAAGAGCAAGAAGAAACAAAAGCAGAGTAAAGAAAGGCGAAGAAGATACAGCTCTTCTTCGTCGGAGTCATCTGAGTCAGAATCAGCTTCGGACTCAGATTCTGATGAAGATAGAAGCAGAAGAAAGAAGAAGAGCAAGAGGCACAGCAACAAACGTCGTTGAATTGGTTTTCAGGAAATCAGAAAGTGGATGAAAATTCTTATATGCCTTTTTAGAATGAATCATTTTGTTCTACATGAAGAAAACTCACTGCTTCTTTCTTCTTTTTCCTCAAGTTCGTTTTTTCGTTTGTCAGCCATTTATGGCTGTGTTGTAACAAACTGATGAATCTTAGAATCCCCTCAAGTTTTCATAGCTCAATAGTTTCTTGGAGAATGTTGTAATGTAAACCTTAACAAAATAGCTTTGTGTTGTTATGATAAAGAGATTTTAGAGACCGTGGGTTTTAGCATATATTCGAAGGATGGAGACGGTTCTTTGGCAATGAATGGAAATTATCTACTGTTATCACTCTATAACTAAAAAAAATAGCCACATCGATCCAAATTATATCACTAAATTGTGCTAACAAAACAACAATTGGAAAATAATCAGTTCAAACAAAAGAGTAAGGAATTAGGATGATTGTTTGTGCAAAAATTATCCTCTTAAAATCATTCGCTGAAATATACAAATAGTGAGTAAAGTTAAGAGCTTGTTTTGTAAATATCCATAATTATGTATCTTACATAAATAGTTACATTAAGTTTGTAGTAAAGTCTCTCTCTCCCTAGTCTCCTTCCTCACAGACTGATCCCTCTCTGAAGATTATACTTGTTTGCTCGGGCTTCCACTTTGTGTTCACCTTGTAAAGTTTTAACCTTTTCTCAATCTCTGCGGTTGATACACCTCTAAAGCCCATATTGCACACAAAGTGTTCGATAAAATGCCTAGCTGAGATTCGAGCTGGGAAAAAATTGCATTTAACTGGTTTGTTCCTCACTTCATTCCTCAAGTTCTTGAATTCTTCTCAAATAGGAATCCTCTAGAGTTATAATTTAGGAAGATGACTATTTAATCGCATCCATTTAGTTGGTTGTTTGATGATAAACAGTTTTGGTTTTGTTGATTTGATTCATTTCTAGCTGCTGAGGAAACAAGTGAAAAAATCTGAAAATGTTGCGTAACATGATGATGCCTTGGAACAGAAGCAATCACAATGTAGTTGGAATGTTAACAAGGCATTTTGCCACGAAACCGAAACCCAAGATGAAACCAATCGAGTTGAACACACCACCGGAGCAAACACAGACGATCACTCGAGTTATCTTTGATATTTTGAAGGATCATGGACCTCTCACCATTGCTGAAACTTGGGATCGTGTCAAGGTATACACTCTTTTTACATTACCAGATGCAATTTCTTAGACGTTTTGGATTGACTAACAAGTAGAGAATGAATGTTTCTCAAATCTGTTCCAAAGGTAGAAAGAGTGATAGATATATCTCAAACCCAATTTGGGACTGAAAATTTTCATTTGGCCAAAGGCAGAGCATTTTAAGATTAATGGGCATTTATTTCAAAACCATGTGGCGATGCCACTCTTTCTCGATAAGAGATGATCTTAAGTTCATCGTTGGAGGTCTGGAACTGAATTTTGATACCTATAATGGCGCTATTCTCAATCTGCCAGAGGTCAAGAATGTGAACTTTGATTGAATTCTATCTTAAAACACGTGGCGATGTCACTCTTTTACATTATCAGATGCTTCCACTTTCTTTCTTTGAGGTTTTAGATTGAGATAACTATAGGTAGAGAATCTTAGACTCTATCTCATAACCAATTGGTGATGTGTTAAGTAACGATAACTCATAAACCGTATTAGGTTAAGAAGTGGAATAGTTGTTGGTTAGCTTTCTTTCAGATTATGCAAGTATCACCACAACACAAAGTGTAGTTTTCAATATGATAATTGGTATAAATTGTTTTGAACAGGAAGTGGGATTAAGAGGGCTAACGAGCAAGCGTCACATGAAGATTATACTAAGATGGATGAGAGAGAGACAGAAGCTGAAGCTGATATGTAACCATGTTGGTCCTCACAAGCAATTCTTATACACTACTTGGTTCACTAAACACAACCCTTCTTCTAAATTCCCTAAGTCACCGGAAAATCTCACAGGAAAATCCTCTAGCCACCCTAAACTGCCCTGAGCCGAGACTGTTAGGCTTTGTTTCTTGAATCTTCGTTTTACGGTAATGTAATTAAAATGTGTTTCTTGACAAGTTTCTCTCAATGTTTCTGCTTATAAACAATCTTGTTATCATTTTATTACATTCAGTTGTGACTCATTCATAACTTCATAAGGTCTCACCGATACCTTAGGTAGAAATAGGAAAATGGGATGGAAATTAGAATGATATATGTACCCCAGATAGAATAAGACACACTGTCTTGTGTCTTCTTCTTGTTAAAGAGTACAATCTCCGAAAATGCAAAGCCCGGCAGGAGACTGTTTTAGAACCTTGCTCTAAGTAGTCTCTCGATGAGACTTTCAAAGTCACTAAACTCAAATATGATTAGTATAATTGCTGGAATCAGGTACTTGTGTTATTCTTATTTTGAGAGAGACAAACAAATATATAAATAGTTACACCTTGTATACAAAACTGCTTTTCAAGTTTCTTAAATCTCTGAAGAAGGTGCGGACTAAGGATCGGACATTCCTGCCAACATTCTTGTTGTTCCATGACCAGAGCATTGTTCTTTCTGGTCACTGGAACAATGTTGTAAAACTATATACATAACACTTAGTGAATCCTCAAAAGGTAAATGATCAAAAGCAGGATTGTCAATCATGGCATTGACAAAGACCTACATATATAGTTGGTTCTTCACATTATCGTTTTTTATTCTTTCTGGTCACACTTCCCTCAATGTAGTCTGTGATCTGACTAGTCACACATAATCAACATATGCACCACTCTTAAAATGTGGCTATGGAGTTTGACGAAACAGTCCGATCACAAAGTGAACAGAATCTGACTGATCACATAACCAAACCCTTGAATGTGGCTATGGAGTTAACAAAGCTGACCTGCTAGCAGAGGAAACATCGCTAAAGAGTTTATTTTTATACCTAGCTCTGAAAAATTGTCCATCACTTAAAACTCACTGAATGATTTTGATTGGAGCTTAACCTTGACAGTGTTTCTAAAACAGCTAGCAATATCTATCACTCAGTTTACTACTGACTAGAGCAACCACATCGTCTTCTAATTGTTCAAAAATCAAAACCAAGTTTCAAAGTGACCTTGGTCCAGAATTTATCTATAAAAAACGTTGGTTCCATTTCCAATACGGTTTCTCTCTTAGAGCATACATTACATTTGTAGAAAGATATATCTTTTGGCCATTTGCATATAATGTCCAAAATTTCATCTGTTGTTGTACTATTTGCAGAAAACGAAATTATTCTCAAATTGGGTTGAATCAGTCAACGGAAGATGATTCTCTGTTTTCCAAAGCATCAAATGTTTCTGACCTCTCCAATCTCTCTTTACTTACAATTCAAAGAAGAAAAAAAGATTTTCTCCAACTAACCCTAAACCTAAAATTTTCTAACTGAAGGAAAAAAGACCCTAAAAATTCTCTTCTGCCATTGGAACCAGAGTTTTTAAAAAATTGCAGACACCCTAACTAAATAATTTGGAAACATGAGTCTGTTTATCTACATAAGCCGCTATGAGGAGGATGATAAGCTACGAAGAAGGTAGCATGCGGTCGAACCAGTTAGAGAGATTTGAGATTTTGGCTGCTACGCTTTTATTTCGACCAAAGAAAGTTTCTGCATTCGACAACATAACTGCTACGTCGTGTCTTAATGCTTCCACACTTCGGTAATAGTTGTTCTCAAGCCTTGATCTGATTACTTCAAGAGACAAAGGAACTGGGAACCTGCATAATGAATCCATAGAACAAAACCGTGTCAGCTTCGGCTCCACCAAAGCCTCTTCTAGTGTTGTAGAAATTTACCTGTTGGTGTAGCTGGAGTTTCCCACGGTCTGGTTCAGTTTTCGGAGGCCATAAGAATCCTGAAACAAATTACTCGACATTAATGTCATATTGTTATGTTCTTAGGATAATGTTGTGCCTTAATCCACTAAGCTTTAGACTCTAGAGTAGGGTAACTAAAACCCGAGTATAAAGAGTGTGATCTATAAAACCAACTAAGCTAATGAGCTATTAAATTCATTAGGATCACATACCTGGGTTCTTTTGTCTGAAGTCTCTAACTTTGTTAAGGCCGAGAGCAAACGGTTTCGTTGCTCATCATCAATGTGAGGCGGCTCCCACTTGGTATCAGCATCAAAAAGCTCCCAGGGACTGTGAAGATGTGTCTCGGCAGGGTCACTCTTGTACTTAACAGTGTACCTCTCCCACGGACTATCAGGAAAATCAGGTGATTTGGGTTTCACAGCTAGAATCCGTCCTTCCCACCAACTACCATCTTCTTCGCCTTCGTCTCTCCACCAAACCTTACACTTATCCCTGCAAGTCCAGTTCCTCTGTATTGCTGCTTCATACCGACTTCTTTCCACAAGAAAATCTGGAAAGGTCACCACCTCAGGCAACGTAAGTTTGAAAGCTTTGTTGAACACTTCGGAGTTTGGATCGATGACCTTAAGTATCATTTTGCAGCAGCTATCCCCAGAACCAGGAAGAGTTGCATATTCAAGACTTTCCACTTTACAAATTTCCACAGCCTTTATATTTCCTCCTTTTATTGAAGTCCAAGGAGCCACCTCCCTCAGGGAGCTAAAGTTTAAGTATTCTTGATGCCCCTGAAATATACGAGTAACAGCCGCAGATAAGAGAATTGATACCAAAGGTTGACTACACGAAACAACAGATAAAATTACCACCAAAACTTACCTGTCGCAAATACGCAACTTCATCCCCCATTTGTGGAATATAACGAGAACCCTCTTCATGTATCGATAATGTCAACCAGGATACATTTTCTATTAACTGTTGCGGCTTCTTTGTTTCAATAGGTTTAGTTTCACTAAAAGGATAAGTGGACTTTCTATTTCTTGTGGATCTCAAACGAAGTGTTGCCCCAGAAGCAGATCTCAATTCTTCCTGAGAGTTTTGGTTTCCACGTGAATCACTTATTTTATCTTGGATGTGTGTCAAACTGCCTTCCGACTTCTCTAATCCATTCAACTGAGTCCCATGGAACCCATTAGAGGCACCTTCATGGGACTTAGAGCCACTACCCTGATCCTGACTACAAGAACCTGGACTGATTTCTTTAGTAATAGCAGCATCCCTGTCTAAGTTGTTGTTATACTTCCGTGACTTTCGTCTATAGACAAAATCAAACATCCGTTTAGGATGTGAGTGTGACACAGGAACATCATTAGCAATTGAGAGCGCATCACTGATCTGAGGATTTAATTCCAGAACACAGTCATTTCGCAGAGATATCTCTGTCCCAACCACACCATCCTTTTGACAGTCCAATGCCAAATCACATTTAGCGTCTTCAAAACCATCATTTAATGCATCAGAGCCACCAGTCTCTTGATCTATTGATAAGGGTTTTCCTTCTTGCCTCAAAGATGTATCCGGAGCCCTTGAAACTCTCTTGGAGCGTATCCTCAATGTCGTTGAGATTGGTGGAAGGCTATCAATTAGATTGTGCCGGTGACCGGTTACATCTTGAGAACCGTTAGAGGCCCTGTCATCAGCCAGTCGACTTGGTGACCCATCCAGTTCTGGATATCGCTTCCCACCATTTGGCAAACCACTGGAGATCACCGTGTCAGTGTCAACTGCCATGCCATCTATATCTGTTTTCAATTCCAAACAACTAGGTGCTGTAACACCATTTCCATGGTGATTTGCATCTTCCTTAAGATTATTTTCCTTTCCCTCCGGGTCAGAGCCCATAAGTTCATGCGATGATATTGCTTCACCTCTTATTCGCTTCGTTGTACGAGCCTTAACCATTCCCCATTTGACTTTACTTACATCTAGCCCTTCAAATTGATTTGTGTGAATATCAAGGTTCCCAGGAATCCTCGAGTCTTCAGCACAGCCGTTCCCTAAAGTTGGAGTTGGAACATCAGAAGATGATCCAGGTAGGTTCTCCAGTAAAGTAAGCTTATCTGAATTCCTAACAGGAAATCTAAGAACCAATCTCCTCCTTTCAGTAGGATGAGTTTCTCTGATATCACATTGTTGAGCCCCATCATCTGAATCACATACGAGGATATTTTTCCCCTTCGATTGCTTCCCATGCCCATTTAACAAAGCTACTTCAAGTTCACTATCCCCAGTGCCTGAGTCTTGTGTTGTCGATTCACTTTCTGATGAATCACTCAATTCAGAGACCTCTTCCTCTTCTGCATCTTTAGATGTACCTGTAATCTTAGAAAACCAAGAGAGAGCATTTCGTGCAGCTGCTCGCCTAGGTCTGGACGATTTAGATTTTGAAGATTTCCTTTTCGATTCTTTACGACCACTCCTAGATTTCCTGGTACGTTTTTTGTTGCTTGGAGCTCCCTCAAGCTCATCAAAGTTCCTCTTTTTGACGCGCCTACCCGAAGAAGTCATGATCCCAGCCTGGTAAAGAGGTTAAAAGGGATTAGAAGCCTATTTAGGCACAAGATCAAAGCAATATTACAAAATACTCACTTCTTTCTTATCTTTTTTCCTTTTGGATCTTCTAAGGCTATTCTGATGATCATCATCCTCATCGCTTTCACCGGAACTGGAACCTGACTCACCAGAGGTTGAAGAATTTAAACATTCTTGCTCTTTTCCAGACGAATACTCCTCTGGCACATTGTATTCAGAGTCGTTTTCATCACTTAAGATATCAACTTCTGGTTCCCACTCCATTACATCTATAAATTCTGGCAACGGTTCGGCTAAGTCTAGATCTGCCAGAGGTGGCATTTGGTAATCTTGATCTAAAGTGATATCTGGCCCGACAGCAAGCTTCAAAGAAGATGGTCGCCATTCTTTGCCTAAGGCGCCGAGTCGTCGTTTCTGAAACGTGGTCTGATATGGCTCTTCATATGGAATCATCCCTAGAATGCAGAACAATAGAGAGTGAATGATATGCTCATCCTCAGTGGAAGGATCCACAAAGCATTTAGAATCATAGTAAAAGAAATTAAAACCTGAATCGCAAAGAGGATCCTCCATATTTCGACGATAAGGTTGAAGCTGAGATTCCTGAATCAAAGTTTCCAAATTCCAATTAGTGATTACATTATGCCTATAATGGCAGAATTATAAGTAGACCCACTAGAAGGGGAAGAAAAGATGATCCCCTTACCTGG